GTCTAATAAAGGAAAAGTATGCTTTAGGAATTCATGATGAGACCGATCAAATTGACCTAATAGATATTAATGGTTTAACCCATAGAACTTTAGGATCAATAAAACTGAAATTATTTGAGATACCAATGAAATTTCATCTTGTACAAAATGATTTTCCTGTAAATTGTGAAGGCATAATAGGATCTAATTTCCTTTTTTCTAGTAAAGCAAGTGTTAATTTTGACACAAAGACAATAAAAATAGGAGACACTTACATTCCTTTTAGAAGACGAAAAATATCAACACAAGAGATTGATAGTTACATATTAGTAATTACCGAAGCAGACAAAACTCATCAAATTCCTGAAGTAAATGTAGTTACTAGAAGGCAAAGACAACAAATGGAACAGTCATCTGACCCTGTGGTAGTTCAAAAAGAAACTGATGAAATCAAACCAATAAAACGTCCATGTGGACGATCCCAGAAAGTTCCTGTTAATAATGATAATAAAAATATTATCCCACACCTAAGAACACCTCCTGTCGAGAAGTTGCCCATACCTGAATCTGTCGAAGTTGTTTCAAAACGTTTCCCCGAAAGAATTCGAAATGAGATACCTGATTACGTAGAGAGTGATCTAGACGACAGTGAACTTGAAGGTGAGGCACGAGTTATACCCGAAATATCTGTGCAACCTAATCAGAATCTACCTCACAATATACAAGATATTGATTCTGAAGAGGACTCAATGAATAACAGTTCAGATGAATCCGTAAATGACGACAACGACACCGCTAATATAGTTAAGGTTAAAGAAGCCATACATGTGCGCAACGACAATATTGCTTATTTTATAAGCAGCAATGGACAATCTTGTGACGAAGGTGCTCGAAAATTGATAGAAAATAAAAAAATTAATACTAAACTAATCTTACAAGTGGGTGAAGTCTTAAAAGAAAAAAAGAAAAGGAACTATCATCAATTTGGACTCTGCATACGAGGAGACCGCCCAAAATCGTTAACTCATATTAAGGACTATATACATATTACTTTAAAAACATTAAGAGATTTGCTAATTAATACTAATCAAACTGAAGTCTGTATTGCCCAGAGTAAACATATAGAGAATTTAAGTTGGTCAGAAATAGAGTATTTATTAGCTAGTGTCTTTAAAAATAGTGGAATAAAAATAATAATTTGTACGGATAAGTTAGAGTATGTATCCTTAGAACAACGCGACAAAATCTTTTATGAATTCCATAAATCCCCAATTGGAGGACGTCGTGGTATTTCAAAAACCTTTCACCGGATCAGACAAGAATATTATTAGGAAAATCTAAAAGACGATATACAAAGACGAATTCAACAGTGTCTAGAATGCCAATTAAAGAAATTAACTCGTTTAGACCAGACAACCCACGATAATAACTGATACATGTGCTACAGTGTTTGATAAAATTGCTATGGATATTGTAGCCCCTCTAAAAAGAACAATAAAAGGAAATGAATACATTTTAACCTTACAGGATCAATTAAGTAAATTTTGTCTAGCTGTCCCATTACCAGACACCTTATCATCAACAATAGCGGACGCATTTCTTAAGAAATTCATTTGTGTTTTTGGATGTCCGAAAGCTGTGCTTACTGATCAAGGCAGAATTTTTTTGAATTCACTAATGACGCGTATTTCCAAGCGATTCAAAATAAAGAAATTAAAAAGCACAGCATTCATGCCTCAGTCGAACGGTTCCCTTGAGAGATCTCATCACGTACTAATTGAGTACTTAAAGCAATACACCGATGTTGAGAACGATTGAGATGATTGGCTCGACCGAGCTATCCTAAACTACAATACCTGTGTACAAGAAAGTACCAAACATACGCCGTATGAAGTTGTATTTGGCCGCTTAGCTTGAATGCCCTCAAATAATCCCCTTCGTGAAAGCGATACTTTACCTACATATAAAAGATATATATTAGATTTAGTTGCGCGTTTATGTAGTATACAAAAATTAGCTTACGAAAATTTAGTTAGCTCTAAAGAATAATCAAAAAAATATTATGATAGACATATAAATCCAAGACTTCAGTTTAGATGATTACGTTTTTTTAAAATCAGGACCTGAACCGGGGAAATTCAGGGATCATTACTCAGGACCTTATAAAATAGTTGGTATTCTTCCAAAACATAATGTAAAAATAAAGACTTAAAAGGGCACAAAAATAGTTCATTCAAATAGACTCTGAATTTCATATATAAACAAATCAAAGAAATCAAAGAAACCAAAGAAATTAAGCCAAAATAAAAATAAAAGGAGAGAGGAAAAATATAATATAATATAAAATAAAATGAGATAGTAGAAATTATAAAATAAAATATATATATTATGAAACAAACAATAGATAATTGAACAAAAGGAACATATAACGAAATATTTTCTGATTACAGACCGAAAACATGTTGCATTCTTCTCTGTTATCACTGATATTCTTAACAATAACTAATCCAGTTACAGCCATCATAGGATACGACTGCGGAACAACATCTCTTAATATAACCACTATATCTTTATTAAACGTGGAAGAATGTGAAATGCCACTAACAGTGGTAAGGCTTTAATAACGAGGTGTGAAATTTTCCTCGAATTTTTGGATTCTTGTAACTTGCAAATATGTATCCATACCTATGATTGATTGTACTATGTATGGTCCTTCGTACAATTTCATAAATTTTTTAAAACGTTCTTCTGATTTATCTGTTGCATTGTGACTTTTTAGTAACACAATGTTATTTATCTTGTATGGTTTATGCTTTGAATTAATGTTATGCGCTAGAGCTCTCTTGCTTAGCTTTTCGTGGACCTTTTTGCGAAGATCAGTGATTTTGTTAGATACAGTCGAATCATTTGGGGAAAACCAGCGATGCCAAAAGCTATCTGGCTTCTGTCCTAGGTGGATTTCCATAGGTGTATATTCGGTTGTGTCGTGATAAATAGAATTTATTATATTTTGTATCTTTGGTATTAACGAGGCCCAACCTTTTGGATTTTCATGGGCATATGCTCTTAAAAAACGTCCCAACTCTCTATGTATACGCTCTACTGAGTTACTTTGCGTATGCTAGAGAATATCAAATTTATGTTCATAGACGCCAGCTTTTCTATCCAATTCTTCGATATGAATTGAGTACCGTGGTCGCTAATGATTGATCTTGGCTTTCCATATTTGGGCACATAGTCTTCAAAAATCTTTTTAATGGTTGTGTGGGTAGTAGCACGTCTCATTGGATACATTACGATGTATTTACTAAAGACATCGATGGTAGTCAAAATATACTTGACTCCTCCGGTTGAAGTTGGCAGAGGACCATAAAAATCAGTCGACAATAGATCTCTAGGATGATTCACTAGAATTGGTTGCATCACTGTATCTATTTTCTGATTGTAGTACTTGGTACGTTGGCACAAATCATAGCGTTGAATTATGCTGCTAAGTTTTTTCCGTAATTTTGGGATATAGAAATCTTTTTGTATCATTTTGAAGATTTTCCGACATCTACATGTCCGTACATTTCATGAAGTTCAGTTATCAAATCATTAATCATATGTTCTGGGAGCACAAGTTTGGTTTTACTTTTTTCCCGTTTGAACACCAATTTTCCCTGGACCACGAATCGGTTGTTAAAACTTTCTCGTTTCTTAATCCTATTAATAAAAGCGTCCTGTTTTTGGAGATATGGAAGGTTAATAAAATTTTTTATAAGAGCTGGTGATGGTTTTTTCATCAAACTTGCTATAATAATTACGCTAAAAGTAGCTACTACTTTTCCGCAACAAATCCATTAGAGGTCGACAGACGGCCGCATAATTCTTAGCGAATTTTGTATAAAAGTTGACGAAACCGGGAAAGCTTTGCAAGCTTTTAAGATTTTTAGGAGCTTTAAAGTCTTTTAGAAGTTGTAATTTTTCCCTTTGGGGCTTGATACCCGAGGGTGTAATAACATGACCTAAAAATTCCATCTCGTTTTGAACTAGCTTCGATTTTGAAAATTTTCAAACATAATTGTCTCTACGGCAACAAGTGAATAACGCTCAAAGATGATAGATATGTTCCTCGAATGTTTTTGAGATACAGAGAATATCGTCTACAAACGGGATTACAAATTGTTTTAAATCGCCAATGGATAGATTCAAAGCCCTTACTAAGGTAGCTGTACTGGTACAAATTTCAAAAGGTACGACGTTAAATTCATATGTATTTCCTTCAATTATAAAGGCTGTATACTTCTTACTCTTTTCGTCTAGTAGGACTTGTCAAAAACTACTCGTCAAATCAAAACTCGACATATAGTTAATCCCAAAGCATTGCTGAAAAATGTCTTCCATACGTAATGGAGTTTCATAATCTTTTACCAGTTTCTTGTTCAATTGTCTAGCGTCTAGACATAATCGAACAGATCCATCTTTCTTTACGCTGATGACAACTGGATTTATGAAATTACTTTTTGACCTTCGTATGAACATTTATTTGATTGCAGTTCTCATGTTTTCGCGATGTTTCAAAGGCACCGAATACTGTTTCGAAGAGTAAGGTTTTTCATCCTGGAGTACTAACTTATGAGTGTAAATCTTCAATAGTCCGGGCTTTTTGCGGAACACATCTTTGAATTCATACACCAATGCTGCCAATTCGTTTTTCTGATTCTCAGTTAAGCTTGAGCATACGCTAATTTTTTCGTTAATCTCCGTCCACGTTAGATTCGTATTGTCGTCTTTTGCGGCGCCTGCGTCTAGGCGGTTTTGGGTTAGATTTCCGAACAAGGATGCTTCTTCGCCAAAATTCTGGTCATACTTATAGGAATAAATGGTTATTTATTTAAGTAGTTTACTCCTATTAGTAACAAGTCAAATAGTTAATAATAAAACGACTGTTTATTAAGAATACAATTGACAGACTCACTATAAAATGTTTTTTTATAAAACGAAATGAATGTTCGTTGCTGTGCTCACACTTTTGTTTCTCAACCACGTTCGAATGTTGGTTCGAATGCTTGATGCGCTCGCCACACTACCCCCCTTGGCAAAGAATTTGGCTTCAAATTTAAAATGTCTCGAAATTTGACTCTTCTGCCAAATCGTGTAGTGCGTTCGGGAACTTGCGTTGGCTCTGTAGGCACAACATCAGGAACAGGAACTGATATTGGTTCTGTAAGTACAGAATCAGGAATAGAAACAGGAACAGGAATTGGTTCTGTAGGTACAGCATCAGGAACAGAAACAAAAACAGGAACAGGAACAGGTGTGACATCATCTTGCAAAATGAATGCAGGTTTCACTCGATCAATAGAGACTTTGGTAGGCTTGTTGTTACAGATCTTGAGTGTGATCGTTTTTGCGTTTCGATCCATGACTTCGTATGGGCCAGTGTATGGTGGTTGGAGTGCCTTTAGAAAAGGTCCTTGTTTCAAAAAGGCATGACTGCATTTGGAGAGCTCCTTGAAAACGAAAACGCCAGGTTGACAATGTCTTGATGCTGGAGTTGGGCGTAAGCGTGACATGAACTCCCGTAAGCTTGAGAGGAAGCTGCTTGGATCGCCGAGATTCTTGTTTTCAAGGTTTGAAGAAAGCAGTTTAAAAGGTAAACGAAGGGTTTCTCCATAGACCATCTCTGCTGAAGTAGCCTTGATATCTTCTTTCAAAGCAGAACGAATACCAAGAAGTACTAGAGGCAAAGCTTGAACCCAATTGATGTCAGAATGAGCCATGATTGCAGCTTTTAAATGGCGGTGTAAGAGTTCGATCAAACTATTCGAAGCAGGATGCCAACTTGTAGTGAAGTTGTGTCGGATTCCGAAGAGTTTGATAAAGTTCTTGAAGAGGTGTGAAGTAAATTAAGGACAACGATCTGAGGATAAAGTTTCTGAAAAGCCAAAACGATATATCCAGCAATCTAAAAGTGCTTGAGTCACAGTGTCTGCAGTTATGTTCTCTAAAGGATAAACCTCAGGCCATCGTGTAAAACGATTGATGACAGTCAAGCAATATCGAAAAGCACGTGCAGGTGGAAGTGGACCAATCAGATCGATGTGGATGTATGAACATATCTTCGTAGGAGTCTCGAAATATCCAAGTGGAGCGTGAACATGGCGAGTAATTTTTGATCGTTGACAATCACTGCAAGTACAAGCCCAATTTCGGCAATCCTTATTCATGGAAGGCCAAACAAATCGATCGCTGATTAATTTGAGTGAAGAGTTTGCGCCGGGATGACTCAAAGTGTGCTATTGGTCGAAGATGTCACGACGAAAAAGCTGTGTGATGAAAGGCCGAGGTTTTCCTGTCGATGTATCACAAAATACCGTAAGTGAGGTACCAGGAATCGGCATATGCTCAATGCTGAGAAAAGAGTTTTTTTTAGTAATTCTCCTGAGTTCTTCGTCTTTTTTTTAAGATTTAACCAGCAACTCGAAATCAAATGGTGCAGAAATGGCTTCGATCCGGGAAAGAGTATCGGCAACGACATTATCGGTACCTTTGATATGTTGTATATCCGTAGAAAATTCTGCGATGAACGAAAGTTTATTGAGTTGAATTGGCGGGAGCTTTTCACGTTTTTGCTATAAGGCGTAAATTAATGGTTTGTGGTCTGTGAAGATCGTGAATTGGTACCCTTCCAGAAGATGGCGAAAGCGCTGGATCGCAGCGTAGATAGCCAGAAGTTCACGATAATAAGCAGGCCAAGAACTTTCTTTTGTTGACATTTTCTTAGAGAAGAAAGCGAGAGGCTGCCACACGTCACCAACAAGCTGTTGTAAACAAGCTCCAACAGAGTGATTCGAGACATCTGTAAATAAACCAAGAGGTGCTCCAATGCGAGGGTGAACAAGAAGTGAAGCAGATGAAATGCAGTTCTTGCAGGTTATGAAAGCTTCTTCAAGTTCAGGTATCCATGTGATTGGTTGAGCGCCTTTCAATAATGGATTACTGATTGCACCGTGCAGAGGAGCTGCATATTCAGAGGCATGAGGTATGAATCTGCGGTAGAAATTCAGCATTCCCAGGAAACGGCGAAGACCTTGAGCTGTTTTTGGTAAAGGGTAATCTTGAATCGCCTTTATTCGTTCTTCTGGGGCTCGAATGCCAGCAGCAGAAATGGTGTAACCAATGAAAGGAACCTCGGGAACTCCAAAGATGCACTTCTGTGGATTGATAACTAGGCCGTACTTTGCAAGACGTTCGAAAATAATTCGAAGATGACGCTCATGTTCTTCTTTAGAACGAGAGAAAACGAGAATGTCGTCCATATAAGTGAAACAAAAATCCAAACCACGCAAAACTTCGTCCATAAACCTTTGAAAAGTTTGGCCAGCATTTCGAAGTCCAAACGTCATGAATGGAAATTCAAAAAGACCAAATGGTGTGATGATGGCAGTTTTACCGATATTTTCTTCAGCAACTGGAATTTGTTGATAAGCTTTTACAAGATCGATCTTAGAAAAGATGATGCAACCATCGATAAAATAAGTGGCATCGTGGATATGACGAACCGGATAACGATCCGGAATCGTTCGAGCGTTTAGCTTTCGAAAGTCACCACAGGGACGCCAAGATAAGTCACTTTTTGGTGCTAAATGCAGTGGAGAAGACCAAGAACTTTCGGAAGGACGAGTTGTGCCAGCTAATAACATGTAGTCAAATTCTTTGCGAGCGATTTTTAATTTTTCAGGACATAATCGGCGAACTTTACTTGTAACCGGTGGTCCAGGAGTAGTACGAATGTGATGGACGGTTTCGTGTTTGATGTTTCGAGGTAAACCCGGAGGACGAGTGATTTCAGAAAATTCAGACACAAGAGCAGCGTATGGTGAAGAATCTTGAACCACTTTGATACTGCTCTGCGAAAAAGGCTGAGATAAACCTTGTACTCGAAGACCAGTGGTTACGTCGACGATACGTTTTGTATGACAGTCCGGTAAAAGGTGATAATGAGCGAGAAAATCAGACTCAATTATCGGCAGATTGACGTCAGCGACGATGAATCTCCATGGAAAATCACGACGAAATCCTAGGTTAAGATTTAAGTTTAGAAAACCATACGTTTTTATTTTGGTTCCGTTTGCAGCACACAACTCGTAGTTAACAGGAGAACGTAGGTCTCGTAATAAACGACGAGGAAAACAGTATAAATCAGAACCTGTATCGACGGGGAAACAATTTTTGGTTACTTTATCGACAACAATGAGACGGCTACTAGATGAAGAACAGTCAGATGCCGTCCTTACGGACTGCTTTGGTCGTTTCCCGAAAACTTGCAAGGCTTGACGCACTTTTTAGTATTTTGCTGAAACTTTTTTTGATACCAACAAACCTCGTCTGTTTTTTTGTTAGAATCGTCCCGGTTTTGAGATTTATTTCTGTTGCGAGAATTGTGGTTATAACCGTGACGATTTCGAGAACGCGAACGAGAAGCAGCCAATTCAGCGACTTGTTTTTGCAATTCAGCAACCGCTTTTAATAAATCGTTTTCAGTACCTTTGTTGTTCAATGCAGCGTTGACCGAGAAATTGGGAGGACAAGGCGAAACTTTGATGATTTTGTCGGCGAGCTCAGAAAGTTTATCGATCGCCAACTCAGACTGTGATGCAAGGATAGCCTGGATGTTTTGCGGAAGACGTTGAAGCCAAAGCCGACGTAAGAGGTTATCCGGCACAATAGTTGTACCAGTAAGGGATTGGAGATGCCGAAGAAACTGGGAAGGCTTACGATCGCCTAGCTCCTCCGCACTAATGAGTTGGCGGACACGTTGTTCCTCAGACGCAGATAATCGCTTAATTATTTTTGTGCGTAAATATGTGTAGGGGTTTAATTGACGAGGATTTTTAATAACATCCTCGACTTCCAATGCAATGCGAGCGTCCAATTGAGAAACAACATAATGAAACTTTGTCACTTCGTTAAGGATGTCAGAAAGCGTAAATTGAGAATCAGCTTGAACAAACCACAAGCTTGGTTTATCTGACCAAAATAGCGTCAATTTCACAGCGACACGATGTACTGTATGGCGTTGGTTGACGGTGTCAGCGATGACGCCTTGAGGCTACAACTGCTGTTGTTCTTGTAGCTGCTGCTGCTGCGGCGGTGGCTCCTGCAGCTCCTGCGATTGTAAATTTTGCACTCGATGCTCCATTTGTTGACGTAGTTCTTCGATCTGCCGTTGAAGCAGCTCGTTTTCCTCACGTAGAACCATAAGTTGACCCTCGTCGCGAAGCATCTTGTAATGAGGTTATAATCTTCTACGATGGCGAAAAGAAAATTCACCAACAAAATACTACTCGGAGTTCCGAAATGTTATCTTTTATTTCGTTAATAATATTATCCTTAGCGCAGATAATATCATTTAAATTTTCATCGCAACGTTCTTTCAATTGTTCAATAACTACATTTGAGTCATTCAATTTGGATTTTAAAGTAGAGATCAATGCCTCTTGTTCACTTATTTTGCATGTTAGTCTTTCGACTTTATTGCAAAGTTTGTTAATCGTTTCTGACATGGTAGCAAAATCGTGAAATAGTTTGTTCACAATCTAATTGTTTCAACTCCCCTACAACTGCTTTTTCCCATTCTCGAGTTTTCTTATCGTGATCATTCAAATAATCATCAAGAACATCATTATTCAATTCATTTAGGATCGCTTTTGAAGTGATCTCAATTGATGTAAAAATAGAACGTCGTTTATTTCCAGACATTTTGGAAGTTAGCTTAAATCGTCATCTCGATCAGAGAAATATTGGGAGAGTCAATACATATGAGAACGTACAATAATTACTAAAATTCAGTTAACAATAAACTAATGAAGGACTATGCTATTTTTCATGACTTCATGAGTATATTTAATTAATAGTGTAAGAAGTAAAACTTATTGTAAGCGTTTACGCTAACTTTGAGTGATTATGCTGCTGGAACGGGCAACGAATCTACCATGAACGTGCACATATTGTGTACAAACAACAAGTCCTCGTAAAAGGTGCGAATATTTGTTGCTGTTACGTGGAATACCGTCTCGAATCGCGATTCTAACAGACTAATTCTCTCTCTTAATTTCTGTACTTCTTTTCTTAACGCAGCATTTTTGCGTTTAGCAAGTTTTAATTTTCGGCTATTCGTCATTACAAAGATTTGAATACGCACGCGACAAATCAAAGATCTTTCGCTCGAAAACTGTTTATAAATTACTAAAGAGTCCCTGTTCGGGCGCCAAATGTAACGTTTGAATCTTTCACACGTTATCAAAACAATAGTTCGGACTCTTTCTGTTGTATTCATAATCGCGTTTCTGAGAGTAGCAAGAAGTTGACACGTGTATATTCTAAATGAAATATGAAAATTTTTCGAGTAGTAAACCCAAAGTTTTCTAACTCGATGAATCGTCTTGAAATGCAATTGAGCGTGATTGCATCTATCAGGGAGAGGCCCGACAGCGCCGCAACCAATACTCAATTTAATTTTGTGACGGTGTAGGCCGGTCATGGCCTGCACCGTGCGCTTATCTCCCTCTCCTTCCTAGGCAAAGGCGCACGGCCGGCATCAAGCGCACGTTTTTACCACGTGCCTGATGCCTGCCCTTTTATTTTTCAGCAACGCACGAGAGTGGAAGGAGAAGCCGTGGACGCGACGACGCGCTCGAGTATTGAGAGTGCGAGAGAGAGAGAGAGAGAGAGAGAGAGAGAGAGAGAGAGAGAGAGAGAGAGAAAGCAATAGTTTGAG